AAGTTGCTCCATGAACACATCCCTGGGGTGTATTTGGGATTTTTCCTTGTTCCCTCTGGAATTCCCGGAGTTTCCCCGAGATAACACCGGGATATTTTAGTGCTGATCCCACAGAACCCATCCCTCATTCTCATGGAATTCTGGAAATGGAGGGAGCCCTAATAATCGAAATTAAAAATTTGAAGTACATAATTGAAAAAAAATATTTGAGATAAATAATTGGCATGAAAGCCTGAACTAAAAATCATTAAAATAATTGAAATAGATAATTGAAATAGATAATTGAAGTCATTAAGATAAATAATTAAAATATTTAAATTAATCAAATCAATTAAAATATGCAAATTAATGGAAATAAATAATTAAAATAAGTAATTAAAATAAATAATTTGGATCCTTCTGGCTCCTTAGGAGGGGACTAAAGCCAGGCCAGCAGTGGGGTCCCATCCCTAAGGATTTAAAAGCTGTGGAATGAGGGCATGGATCAGTGGTGGATGTGGTTAACTCTGGACTCAATGACCTTGGAAATCTTTTCCAAGCTAAATAATTCCAGGATTCCTGGCTTTTCTCACTCCATAGGGATCCAGCTGCAGTGTGCTGCTGAAATCCCCCAAAATTCCATGATAAATGAAGAATGCTATGTGGGGAACTTCTCCCAGATGGAAATTTTCCCTGTCCAGTGCTGGAGACAAAATTTGTGCTTGGGATAATATAAAACGTGATGGGATCCTGGAATTGAGAATTTTGGGGTTAAATAAAATAACAAATTCTGCTTTTCATACCTCCTGTTGGTTTTCCATAGAATTCCTGTGAGATGAAATGTGCTCTAAATTCCAGAGTGTCCTTTAAAAATTCTTTTTTTTTTTTTTCCATTGAACTTGTCCCAGAGATTCCAAATTGAATTTGAACTGCTCCTCACAGGAGCCCCAAATCCCACCCACTTCAGCCTCACTTTCATTGCCACCCAGAGCTGAATTTCTGAATTTTCCCTTTGAATTCTCTTGAAATTCCTGATAAATTGGGTGGGGACACCAATGGGGTCACAGCTCCCAACCCCTCTGCCCCTGCTGTGTTTGGGGGTCTTGGTTTGAAAGTCAGGAGTTTGTAAAGAAAGGCAGGAAATTGAAATGGACAATGCAAACCCCCTCCCTCCAAATTATTGTAATTTTGAAATTGAGGGGCTCTCAGGCAAAGATATGGGAATAGGAATAATAGTTTACTAGGAAAATTAAAATAGAAATACAGTAATAAAAAAAAAAACCCTAAAAAAAATAACCCCAAAAAACAAACCCAAGGCACTGCCCCCGTCAGTCAGTCAGGGTTGGTGCAGTCCCATTCCATGGTGGCTGCATCCTCCTGCAG